AAAGCAAAAATTATTGAGCAATATCATTAATATCACATAGAATTAAATTTTGCAAAAAATAATTCAAAACCAGTTGGCACAGTACATAGACAGGGAACTGTCATAAATTCAAGCTAGATATAGAAGAAGACATGGACAAGGGATATCATTGTTGCTAGCTGATAGATCTTGGCTGAAAACAGAGAATATTAGAAAGATGTTTACTTGTATTTTATTGACTATGGAAAAGCATTTGATTGTGTGGGTCATGAAAAATGGACAACATTGAAAAGAATGGGAATGAGTCTCTCAACCTTTGGTTATGTTATCAGAATCTCTGGAGAAGTACATATCATGTTTGGTAAAGTAGAGGCTCAGAGAAAAATAGGAAGACACTATGAGATGGACTGATAAAGTGGCTGTAACAATGGGCTCAAAGATTGTGAGAACAGTTCTGAGCTGGGCAGTTGTGGTAGTTAAGACTGTGTGTCAAGTTGGCTGGGCCTGGTTTGAGTGGGTGGCCTGTGTTTTGAGTGGCTGGGCAGCTGAATGTAGTTATTCCCCAAGATGGGACTGGTAATCAACTGGATGGTGGAATCTACTGGAGCAGCTGAGTAGCTGCTTTAGGGACGTGGTCTGCTTCCAGTATATAGTGAGAAGCTTTAGAAATGGTCAGCAGCTTTTTGGCACACTTGGACCCTGCCTGTAGCCAAGTCTTTATTTAGCAGCCTTCCATGTTTCCCACCAATCTTGAGACTATCTCTGGACTCGAACTAGTGGCCTGCTGTAGTTTTTGGTAATATTGAGACTGTGCCATTTTATTTGTTGGCCTTGGGCTTGTTAGCTTCAGGATCCAGTAGCTGCCTGAGTAAAGAGATACCTCTGGCTCCCGTGGGTCTGGAATAAGAGGTAGAGTTGAAGCCCAAGGTTGAGCAACCTTCACTCAGCCCTTGGAACTAGGCACTTTGAACTCAATCTTCTAGCCTCCTACACTGTAAGAGAATAAACTCCTGTTTGTTAAAGCCCATCCACCTGTGGTATTCCTGTTAGAGTGGTACAAAGTAAAACAGCAGTGTTTCATTATGTTATACACAGGGTCACACTATGAGTTGGAAGTGACTCAATGGCACATAACAACAACAAAAAATAAGCTGAAAAAGTAGATATTAGTTTGTCACCTTTTGAAATACATTATTTTAATCTTCTTCTCTCTGCTTTTTCTTTCTTTTTTCCATGCTGAAAACCAAGTTCTTATATTCATGCCTCATTAATTTATTTTTAGGGTCAGAACCAGAAGCCGTGTGATGTTAGGTGCTCTTCTTATGTTGGTTAAATGTTTGCAGGATTATGCTTTGGAGCACTTTTAAGAATAAAGAGATGAAAAGGTAGCTCTTGAAGATAAAAGAATCACAGAGTAAGGTATTTCTCCAATGTTTAAAATAAAGTGGGTTGGGATGTAAGTGGTGGAGCAGTGAGAGAGAAGTGATAACACATAGCTGAAGCCCATGCGCCTAGCCTCACCAGCCACCCACTTTCTGACAACTCTGCTTTTCAGGAGCTGATGTCTGCTTTCACCATTTCCAAGAATGCGATGGTGGAAAGTTTACAGTTTGTCCAGCTTCCCACTCTCCCTAACTGTATATGACCTTGGCTAAGTTACTTAATGTGTCTGAGCCTGGTTCCTCATCTGTAAGATGGTAAGTGGTTAATGATAGCTTCCATCAAGAATTATGAGCAGTGTCCAGATTGAGGACAAGCCTCTGAAGCCTATGTTTCTGGTTATGCCTGGTGAGATTGGCAGAGCCAAGGGCAGTCTAGTCAGAAATTAAGCATAATAGCCTGAAAAATCCAGGATTTTCTTCCACCTTTCAGGCTCTAAATCGGATTGATTTGAGGTATAGGCTGGCCTTAGTAATGACTGGAGTTTAGTTTCAAACCAACCCAGGCTTAGAGTAAGACTCAGTCATGTATATGGAAAATGTGGTAATTTTTGTATATCTGAGTATATATACCAAGGTTCATACCCATTGCATGTAAATCTAATTATGACAGGTGTGTTCCAGTTGCCCATCTTCACCGTCTTCTAAACTCCCTCTCAGGCCACAGCTGTACTGACTCTGAACAGGATTGTTGTTGTTGTTATGTGCCATCGAGTCGGACCCGACTCATAGCAACCCCTCCTTGGGTTTCTGAGGCAGTATCACTACAGAAGTAGATTGCCCCATCTTCCTTCCGAGGAGTGGCTGGTGGGTTTGAACTGCCAGCTTCTGGTTAGCAGTCAAGTGCTTTAGGCACTACGCTACCAGAGCTCCAGAACAGGATTAGAAAATCTCTAAATAATCCTAAACCCCATAACAAACTATTCTCAGGTCTAACTTGATCAAGCTCACAAAAATTTAACAAGTAACATAAATATAATTCAAATGTGTGCTCTTATTTTCAAAACAAGATGATTTTGATTCTTGTGAGGTTTAAACCCATATCCAGGCCTAGAAACTTACACAAAGAAAGGGACATAGGTAAATTTGATGAAGATACATAAATCCTGTGATGACAGTGGCACATAGTAGTTGCCCAGTAAGTGCTGTTGTACTGATAGATGGGAAAAGTAGTGCTTTCTAGTCCTGCTGCCAGGAGAAGGCCTCTTTCACTTAAGAGGCCATTATAGCCCAGAATGCCAGCCCAGGAAGTCCTAGCGCAGAAGTTAAGCTATTAGCTTTGTCCAGGAGGGAGAGGTTAAAGGGATTCAGGCTGCTGATTGACCCATCAGTTGCTAGACTCTGAGCCCAAGAAAGACATTGTCTGGGCGAGAAAGGCTGGCACACCTTGCTCTGTTTTCCCTGTGCCATGGACAGGGTAGAAGGTGGGCTTGCAGCCCCAAACCACCTGAAACGAGTAGCCCAGAGAACACCTGCTGGGACCTGACAAGATTCTGGGAGTCTGGACCATGGGAAGCAGGGGAGACACTGGCCCAGACCAAGATGGAAGAGGATGCTGATGTTCACTAGAGGCTGCAAGAGAATGAGATACCTGGAGACCAAAGGCTGTACTGGGTTTTGATCCAAGAAAAGACTGGGACAGACACCTTAATTGGCTTGTAGAGGCCCTGAACAGCCTTTCTGGAATTTCTGAGCTTTCAATCTGTCAGCTGTTCAGATGTGGGGAGGGAGCCTTGCATAGGGAGTTATTGTTAGCTGCTGTGGAGTCAGCCCCAACTCATGGCAATCACAATATTAGTTGCCAACCTCAGGATCAGTTGCTGATCAGAGGACTGTGAACCATAGGGTTTTCACTGGCTGATGTGGGGGGAGTAGATTGCCAGGCCTTTCTTCCTAGTCTTAGTCTGAAAGCTCTGCTGAAATCTGTTCAGTGTCATAGTAACATGCAAGCCTCCATCGGCAGATGGCTAGTGGCTGTGCGTTAGCCTCAAATGAAACACAAGTCTCCTGCATGGAAGGTGAGAGTTCTACCACTAAAATATCAATACCTCACATCCAGTGAGTTATACCTTTCTAAATGCCTCTACCCATTTCCAATAGGATTGGGGAAGTGGTCTTCTATACTGAGCCTCTTGGATGATCCCCTTCTCAAATCTGGATACTTTTTTTTCTCTCTCTTTTCTGACATATTGTCACTGGGATAGGGTGAGTTAGAAGTATGTAGAATGGAATCCAGTGGGAGGCAATATGAATGAGACAGGAAGTTTATCTAGAGAGGATCGTCTATTCCTGGTGCAGTATCTGCCTTTTACTGGAGTTGCTTAGAATCAGCTCAGCAGGCAGACCTGGCCCTGAGAAAGTGTATTTGGAAGGATCTGGGTATCAACTCTTAAGGAGCTCTGGTGGTGTAGTGCCTAAAGCATTTGACTGCTAACCAGAAGGTTGTCAGTTCAAACCCACCAGCAGCTCTGCAGAAGGAAGATGGGGCAATCTACTTCTGTAAAGCCTCGGAAACTCAAGGTGGTCATTATGAGTTGGAATTGACTCAATGGCAGTGAGTTTGGTTTTTTGTTTGGGTATCAACACAACATTACTTTTTTATTTTAGAGTTGGAATGTGGGGTATGTTGGAGGAAGAAGCACATAAATGTGTGTAGATGACTGATGGATACATAGTTGGCACCTATTATATGCAGGTTAAGGGATAAATGATGTTTCAATCATGTCACTCTAGAAGTTTTTTAAAGCCTGGGCAGCCCCCGCACCACCACCTCTGTCCTTCCTCTTTTCTCCCACTTCATGCAGCTCTTACTCTGAATCAGAGAAGATGGACAAAACAACCCTAGAGGCAATTTAGTCTGGTCCCTGAAGTTTGAAGTACCTCATTGTCTTTTTATCCAGTTCTGATAGCTCAAGATTCTGGTTTAGACATGTGGAGATTTCCCATAGTTATTTGCGAAGGAGACAATGCCATGGGGCACATTGTTACATATGAGGAGAAAGCACTGAGGTGGGCCTCCACCTGGTCCTACCTTCCCAACATCCTGGGGTTGATGGTCTCTGTCCTAGGCCTGTGTGTATGAGAGCCAGATCAGTGCCTACCTTGGGACCTCCTTCAATCCCAGGCAGTTCTCCCCAGTCAGCTATGGCCTGGCCTCCCACTTCTCTCCCAGGAATCCTCTGGCCACAGAGTGGCTATGGAACAAACAGTCCATTTCTTATTCCCCCCATGGAGAAAAGACCAGAGGCTGAGTTGGTGGAAAGACTGAGTACCTGGAGGTATGACATGTACCCACTGACACAGATCTTCAAAGACCCTCAGTGCCAGGTGCTGGGCATGAAAGAATCTGGTGGTCTTACCTTAAAAGAAGTTTTCCCCTTTTTTAGGGTCGCACACACACACCTAAAAGGTGTCAATGTAAAGGTGTTCATGGTGAGAGATATATTCCTCATTCTTTCGACTTCAAGTTCTATCTTATGCAGTTTGTCTGTGTCCCTGTATGTTTCAATTTGCCTCCAGCTAGCCACACCAACACCTGCCCCAGCTTCACTCACACTTTCCTCTAGGGCAGTCTGAGGATGCTCACCACCACAGCTCTTCAGCTGGAGGGGAGAGGAAAGGTGTTTCAGACACAGTCATGGGATCACACTTCTCCTTCCTTTTCACAGCTCTGGGACAAAGTGAAATGGTCACACTGAGAATGAAGAAAGGGAAGGAGTCATGGGGGTGCAAAAATACATGAAATAAATTACCCAAGAACCAGTGGAACTCTGTGCCATAACAGCAGTAACATGGTATTGTTAGAAATAGTCTTCTTATTGTAGGCTTTGTCGGGGATAGCTCTTCTCATGAGGGGAATATACTGTTGAGTCCTTTCTTGCACTTTGAAATTGTAGGCTCCCAGGGAACAAAGTTCAGGCAGATACTGCAGAGTGACGGGAGCTACAGTATGGGAGCTTAGAAAGACAAAGGATAGCTGGGACAGGACAGAGCTGCTGCTGAGGGAGTTCCGGAGATGGAGGGCCAAAGGACTTGGCAACTCTCTGCCCTCTTCTTCCTGGCAGCCCAAGATTGGTGATAATTCTTGGAGATGATATGGGGCACTCCCAGAGTACAACCTGGGCATCCTTCACATGCCACCTTTGGTCAGCTTGTTCCTTTCTTCCACTTTCATTGACCTACCTCTCCCCAAAACTTACCTGTCCTATTTTATTTTTTTCATCCCTGCTCTCAAGTGGCTCCGTGGAACATCCCTTCTGTGTCACTAAGTGACTCCGGACTGTAATCACTGAGAAGAGGGTTCCCCACGAGGTATCTAGAAAGGATGGGGATCCATTAATTGATACTCACCTTCCCTGGCATTGAGGTGTTGTCAGCACCTGACTGAAAAATTACCAGAAAGGACTTGAGGATGAGCCAAGGCAGATATAAGTGTTAAGAGGAGCAAGATTCCAATTCTGGGATCAACTTGGTCCTGGGCAGCAGAAGTAACAAAACTTATAAAAGAAGGCAGATATCAAGGGTAGATTTTAAGCACAAAGTCTTTCCATACAAGGAGACCTCTCCCACACACAAACATTTTCACCTTCTCTGGAGTCCAGATCTGAAGAAACACCATGTAGAGATGAGAGTGAGGCTTGACCTCAGAGCCACCAATGAGCTCCCTGAAATAAAAATTCTACTCTGTCTACTGTGCTTATTGAGTCCTGGGTGGGCGTCTCTTAATGTCACAGAAAGAATGAAGATGGGGAGGCTGAAATAAAAGCGTGTAGGAAGGGAAGGAGTTGGAATGGAGTGTTGATAGCGGGAACTATAATAGCCAGCAGCAACCAAGAAGTAGGTCTGTGGGATTCTTTCTGAAGGGTCTCTGGCTTGCAGCGAACAAAAATTTCAGATTCTCCCTCTGACAATGAGAACAGTCCTTGTTCATTTCCTGCTTTAGACAAATATGTTGATGGACAGGATTTGTGTATGGAAGAAACAATAAAGTCCCTGGAAATGCTGGAAAACTTCTGCCTGAAATTCCCTGGGTTCTCTTTCCCCTCTTGTTTCCCAGGCCCCACAAGGCTGCTTCTGATTTGTAATATTCTGAATACAAGCTCAAGTTGGTCTCTAATTGTTAGGGCCTGACACGTAGTAGGTGACTTGTCAAAGTTTTTGTACTTACCAGTGACTGAAAAATTACCAGAAAGGACTTGAGCTTGAGCCAAGGCAAATGTAACCGTTAAGAGGAGCATGATTCCAATTCTGGGATCAACTTGGTCCTGGGCAGCAGAAGTAACAAAACTTATAAAAGAAGGCAGATATCAAGGGTAGATTTTAAATTATTAAGTTAGTAAATCAGTGAGTCTTATGTTGATTACAGAAAACAGCCCCTTTTTCCAAACTGCACTTTCCAGGGGAATTAAATTGTTTCTCATTCCCAACTTTCAACCTTCAAGATGCCTTTCCAGATTATAAGATATGATCTGGAGATGGGCTAATAATCACTGACCCTTATGGAGAACTGCCTTCCTGCTGATTATCCATCTAGCTTCAGATCTGTTGGTCTTTGTATGAGATTAGACCTGTAGTTCAGAAAGTTCTTGGGGGATGGATCAGGGACAGGATATATCTGAGTGTAGCATCTGGGCAAGGTTGTGCCAATGTGAGGTGCAGTCAGACCTCTTAGGATAGAGACTGTCAATCATCTGCCTCATTTCTGGGGTGAAAAAAAAAGGCTAACATGAGCAGCAGTAGTCACATCTTCTCAGGAGAGTTGCCAAGGTCAGAGCTGCTGGTGCTTCCTCCTTCCATCTTTTAATTCTCAGTGGTCTCCTGTGTTGTGTGGGGCTTTATCATATAAAGCTATCTGTAGATGCTTCGTACCACTATCTGACCTAGTGTTCTGGCCTGAGTTCAGTAAGTTATCAGTCATCAAATAGGCACTCACAGCTGTTAGTTCAGTTATGACTACACCAGCAAAAAAATAGGAACCTGAGGCCATAGGTTGGGGTGGTTGGAGATTTTATATCCATCAATTTTGTGTCCTTGAGCCCCAGAACCCGAGTCTCATGATAAATCCAAGAACATCTTCAAATCCTTGGTTCACTTCTCTATTTCTGTCCTGGTAAGACGATCAGGATGATTTTAGTGGAACCCATTCTGTGTGAGACTCAGGGAAAGTGATGATTAGGTTTCTTCTGGTGAAGGAGAAAGGAGTATCAGTGATTAGAGAGGGTATGGTGAAGGCCATAGTTAAAGGATGGACAAAATGTTGTGGAAGTCATGATAAGAATGGTCTTGTTCCAGTTTCTAAATAACCAAGTGGTTTAAAACAGCAACAGTATTTTGTCCATGGGTGCATAATTCGGAAAGAGTTCGGTGTGGATAGCTTGTCTCTGCCACCCTTGGTGTCAGCATGGGAGCCTTGAATGCTGGAGCTTTGAATCATCTAAAGGCCTAATCACTTATGTCCAATGGTTGATTCTGGCTCTTTATGTGGACCTTAAACCATATGGGCCTCTCTGTGTTGTCTCATCACATGGGATTGTTCAGACTTTGTCCCAGGTTGTACCTTGGGAGTGCCCCATATTGTCTCCAAGAATTATCACCAATCTTGGCGATAATTGTTTTCCTAGCATAAGTGGCAAACATCCATTAATAATTGGAACATGGAATGTACAAAGTATGAATCTAGGAAAATTGGAAGTTGTCAAAAATGAAATGGAAAGCATAAATATTGATATCCTAGGCATTAGTGAACTGAATTGGATTGGTTTTGGCCATTTTGAATGAGACAACCATGTGGTCTACTATGCCAGGAATGATAGTTTAAATAGGAATGGTGTGGCATTCATCATCACAAAGAATGTTTCAAGATCTGTCCTAAAGTACAATGCTGTCAGTGATAGGATAATATCCATACACCTACAAGGAAGACCTGTTAATAAGACTATTATTCAAATTTATACATCAACCACCAAAGCCAAAGATGAGGAAATTGAAGATTTTTATCAACTTCTGCAGTCTGAAATTGACCAAACGTGCAATCAGGATGTGTTAGTCATCACTGATGACTGGAATGCAAAAGTTGGAAACAAAGAAGAATCACCAGTAGTTGGAAAATTGGCCTTAGTGACAGAAATAATGCTGGAACTTGCAAGGTAGAATTTTGCAAGACCAATGACTTATTCATTGCAAATATCTTTTTCAACAACACAAACGGTGGCTGTACACATGGACTTCACCAGATGGAAAACACAGGAATCAGATTGACTACATCTGTGGCAAGAGGCAATGGAAAAGCTCAATATCTTCAGCCAAATCCAGGCCAGGAACTGATTGTGGAACAGACCATCAACTGCTCATATGCAAGTTCAACTTGAAGTTAAAGACAATTAAAACAAATCTATGAGAGCCAAAATATGATCTTGAATATATCCCTCCTGAATTTAGAGAACATCTAAGGAATAGATTTCATGCGTTGAATACCAATGACCGAAAACCAGAAGAATTATGAGATGACATCAAGAGCATCATCCATGAAGAAAGCAAGGGGTCACTAAAAAGACAACAAAAGAAGAGAAGACCAAAATGGATGACAGAAGAGACTCTGAAACTTGCTCTTGAGAGGAGAGTAGCTAAAGTAAATGGAAGAAATGACAAGATAAAAGAATTGAACCGAAGATTTCAAAGAACAGCTCAAGAAGACAAAGCCAATTACTATAATGAAAAGTGCAAAGACCTGCGGTTAGAAAACCAAAAGGGAAAAACACGCTCAGCATTTTTCAAGCTGAAAGAATTGAGGAAAAAATTTAATCTTTCAGTTGCAATATTGAAAGATTCTATGGGCAAAATATTGAGTGATGCAGGGGACATCAAAAGAAGATGGCAGGAACACACAGAATCACTGTACCAAAAAGACCTGATCGATCTTCATCCATTTCAGAAGGTGGCATATGATCTAGAACCAATGGTATTGAAGGAGGAGGTCAAAGCTGCAATGAAAGAATTGGTGAAGAACAAGGCTCTGGGAATTGACAGAATACCCACTGAGATTTTTCAACAAATGGATGCTGCACTGGAGGCACTCACTCGGTTATTCCAAGAGATTTGGAAGAGAGCTACCTGGCCAACTGACTGGAAGAAAGCCCATTCGAAAGAAAGGTGTACCCATTCCAAAGAAAGGTGATCCCACAGAATGTGGAAATTATAGAAAAATATAATTAATATCATACACAAGTAAGATCTTACTGAAAATAATTCAAAAACAGTTGCAGCAGCATATTGACAGAGAACTTCCAGAGGTGCAAGCTGGATTTGGAAGAGGATGTGGAACAAGGGATATCATAGCTGTTGTCAGATGGATTTTGGCTCAAGGCAAAGAATACTAGAAAGATGTTTACTTGTGTTTTACTGACTATGCAAAGGAATTTGATTGTGTGGATCATGACAAATTATGGATAACATTGAGAAGAATGGGAATTCCCGAGCACTTGATTGTACTCATGAGGAATCTGTACCTTGACCAGGAGGCTGTCGTTCGAACAGAACAAGGGGACACTACATGGTTTAAAATCAAGAAGGGAGTGCGTCAGGGTTGTATTCTTTCTCCACACTTATTCAATCTATATGCTGAGCAAATAATCCGAGAAGATGGACTATATGAAGAAAAACGTGGTATCAGGATTGGAGGAAGAATCATTAACAACCTGAGATATGCTGATGATACAACTTTGCTTGCTGAAAGTGAGGATGACTTGAGGCACTTACTGATGAAGATTGAAGAATACAGTCTGCAGTATGGATTACATCTAATATAAAGAAAACAAAAATCCTCACAACTGGACCAATAAGCAGCATCAAAATAAATGGAGAAAAGATTGAGGTTGTCAAAGAATTCACGTTGCTTGGTTCTACAATCGATGCCAATGGAGGCAGCAGTCAGGACATTAGACGACATGTAGCACTGGGCAGGTCGGCTGTGAAGGAACTCTTTCAAGTGCTGAGGAGCAAGGATGTCTCCTTGAGGACTAAGGTGTGCCTGACTCAAGCCACGATATTTCCATTCACCTCGTATGCATGTGAGAGCTGGACAATGAATAAGGAAGATTGAAGAAGAGTTGATGCTTTTAAGTTGTGGTGCTGGCGAAGAATGCAGCCGAAATGCTCCTTGGAAGCAAAAATGGCCAGACTTCGTCTCACCTACTTTGGTCATGTTGTCAGAAGGGACCATTCCCTGGAGAAGGATGTCATGCTTGGTAACATGGAGGGTCTATGAAAGAGGGGAAGCCCTTCAATGAGATGGATTGACATGGTGGCTACAACAGTGGGCTCAAGTATAGCAAGGATCATAGAGATGGCACAGGATCAGATGGTGTTTTGTTCTGCTGTGCATGAGGTTGCTATGAGTTGGAAATGACTCAACGGCACCTAACAACAACAGCTTAAACAACCCACAAAAAATAAGCCAGGGGGAAGCCATGTCCATTTTATTATCTAACCTTTGAAGTCAAATAGCATTCCTTCTACCATACTAAATTGGTTGGAGATCAAAATCTCCCTTCCCCCAGATTAAAAAATGGGAACAGAGACCCCACCTTTCAACGGAAGAAACTATCTTGTATGAAGAGCCTGTCGGATGGGAGAATACATGGTGGCAGTTATTAGGAAGATACAATTGGTCACACCATGTTAGTTGTATATAAAGTTGGTCAGAGGAGTTGAAACCAATGACAGTTCTAAGCCTTTGTGTGAGCCTTTGGATAGATAGGAGAAAATATTTTCTTTAATGGATTGGCAATGTTATGTGAAATGGAAAAGGATACCATAGAGTCAAAGTAATATTCTCAGGCCACTGTCAACAGAACTACATTTCTGATATCCCTGTACTATTTGCAAAACAAATTATCTTAATGAATCCCCATCATGGAAAAAGAGAAGAGAGTCATAGACTTGAAAAAAATTGTTGGTTATAAGCACCTTGATCCCAATTCTTTTTAAAAGCAACAGAATCTTAGTTAAAGAAACAAAGCACACTGTCAACAGTGACCCTAGGAGGGTGGGGAGCGACAGGGACGCAGGGTGAGATGCAAAGCCTGATCAACATCAGGAAGCCGTCTGCATCATGCCTCCTCTTGTATGTGGGCATCCTTCCTACCCCACAGAGTCTCTGACACCCTGCACTGTACAGCCTGTGAGATGAAGAGTGTACTCCCAGCAGGGGGGCAGCTCAGTACTTGGAGTGGAAGTCCAAATGTGGTGACAAGGATGTTCATGCAAAGAGCTGGCCAGCACTTGGTATTAGAGTTCAAGTGGAGTGACAAGGGCCCACACAGAGAGGAAAGTCTGGTGCAGTTTGTCAGATTCTGTCAAGGTTGTTTAGGGTGAGGTTGGTATCAGCATGGAGGGGATGCACAATATGGGATGCCAGAGCCTGGATATGGAATGAAGGGACCCACTTAAGGGAAAGAGGATGTTGGTGACTCAAGAGTTGTTATATAAATCTCTATAGGAATTAATCAAACATGTAAAAATATTAAAACTATTGGGAGCCAGGGTTATTTGAAAATTAGGTGGTAGTAATGATGTTGACAGCACTGATGTTAATGTCCTGAGTTTTATGGCTATATTGTGGTTATGTAAGACAGAAGTGTCTTTGTCTTTAGGAATTAAACACTAAAGTATTCTGGAAGACATGGAGCATCACGTCATTAACTTTGCTTTCAAATATTTCAGACAAAATTCCTTTGTCCTTCATTTGTAACTTTTTTCTAGGCTTGAGATTGTTCCAAAATTAAAATAAAATCCATAGTTTTCACCTACACAAACAACTGGCTTAAAGACATTTAAAAGATAATCTGTTATAATGGCATAAAAAAAATTATTAAGGAGTTGACCAAAATTGTGCAAAACCTATTAAATTTAACTTTAAAATACTCCTGAAAACACAAAAATAGAGTTGAGCAAATATATGATCCCCATTGTAAGGAAAAAAAGACCAAAAAAAAAAAAAAAAAAAGTATAAAGTGTGACTAAATATAAAAGAATTTCTATAAATTTATTTCAAAGTATATTGATTACTGAAGGCAAAAATTGCTACAGGATTCATGGCATATAGTAGTAAGTTATATGACAAAAGTAACTCAAGAGTGTGTGGGTAGTTGGGGAGGGATAAATGGAAACATATTGTTAGAAGGTTCTTATTTGAGGGAACTCTGGTAATGTAGTGCCTAAAGCACTTGACTGCTAACCAGAAGGCTGGTGGTTCAAACCCACCAACCACTCCTGGGAAAGAAGATTGGACAATCTACTTCCCTAGAGATATAGCCTGGGCAACCCAAGGAGGGGTCACTATGAGTCAGGTCCGATTCAACGGCACATAACAACAAAACGGCACATAACAACAATGACACAAGAGTGGGTCTTGGTGAGTAAAGGCATTTCCTTGCCTATACTCATTGAGGTCATTACACAGATTTTAAGCAAGAAACGTATTTATCTCAAACAAAGGGAGGGTGGTACTTCCATGGACAAAGAAGATTTGAAGTAATCAGCATGTTTAAGGTACTAATTTGCCTCTGAGTTCACTCAAATGAGTCTATGGGTGGATTTCAACTCACCAAAGGAAAATATCATGAATAGTTGTCACAGAATGATTGCCAGAAGACCCCAGAGGCTTTCTCTCGAGAGAGGAATATGAGCAGAAGCTCATCTCTTACCCGAGGATGTCACAGAGTGGGTGTTAGAAGATATGGAAGATCTGTTTCTGACCTCATGGGAACCTGTGCTCCAGTCTAGGCTTTATCTTAACTTATGTGATCCTTTGATTGGAACTTTGTTTTCTCATCTTTTAAAGGAGAATGAAGGCCTGAAATATTGGTCTTCAAACTTGTTTTAAACCATAGAACCATTTCTTCAAAGTAAATATAACCTAAACTGAGTACGTATGTTACTGTTGTTGTTGTTATTTGCTGTTGAGTCAGACCCAAGTCATAGTGACCCCTCCTTGGGTTTTCCAGGCAGTATCACTAAGGAAGTAGATTGCCCAATCTTCCTTCTGAGGAGTGGCTGGTGGATTTGAACTGCCAGGCTTCTGGTTAGCAGTCAAGTGCCTTAGGCACTATGCTACCAGAGCTCCTGAATGTGTATGTAGTTAATAACTTTTTGAATACTATTTTTTTGTTTTGTTTTCTGCATTTGACATTTAAGTCTATTCTAATCAAGAAAGCAGGTCCTTATATCTTAGATGCAGTGATATTTTTCATCCCCATATCAGAAGCTATGTAACATCCAGTGCTCTTTCCTTGAAAAGGTGTCCAAGATAATTAAGAGATGATGTTGCACACAAAGAAGTGTACAAGAGGCACAGATAACAAGGGTAAACACTTTTAGATAAATGATATTGCATTATCAGTAATAGCAAACATTAATCTACAGGTAGATTCATAGATAGACTGGCAGAATGTCAGGTATGTCTAGGCAAAAGGTAATTTACTGATAACTGATGGGGTGGTGCCTAAGACATTTGACTGCTAACCAGAAGACTAGAGATTCAAACCCACCAGCCACTCCTTGGAAGGAAGATGGGGCAATATACTTTCATAGTGATACTACCTTAGAAATCCAAGGAGGGGTTGCTATGAGTCAAAATCAACTCGACAGCAGTGAGTTTGGTTTTTGGTTAATATGTAAGTTTGGCAGACACTGTTTCTACATACATATTTGTATATACTATAAGAATGTATCCTTATATAGATATAGATATATACATATAGATAGATAGAGATAACAGAGCTAATGGGGGGAAGTGAGGATAACTTCTTAGCCACAGCCAAACACCCTGAGGAGTGAGTTACTGGCCCATGGGCTCAGGACCATGGTCAGAGGGAATATCAAACTCAATTGGCATAACTACTAATGAAAACATGGTTGTATATCCTACTTTGGTGAATAGAGACTAGGTCTTCAAAGCTTGCAAGTGGCTAAGTTGCAACAATTGGTTTCTCTTCCTCTGGAGCAAAGAAGAATGAAGAATGGAGAAAACCAAAGATACAATTAGTCCAAGGGACTAGTAGACCACGTGAACCTCAGCCTGCATGACCCTGAGACCAGAAGAAATAGATGGTGCCTGGCTATGACTACCAACCACTCAGAAAGGGATTGAAATAGGGATCCTAGATAGAGTGGGAGAAATATGTGGAAAGAAGCTCAAAATCATAAAAAAAATCAGGCTTACTGGTCAGATAGAGAGTGTAGAAACCCTTGAGGCTATGGCCCCTAGTTACTCTTCAGTACTGAAATTGACCTCACTCCTGTGGCTTCCAGCCAAACAATAGGCAGACGTGTAAGATAAACATTTACACCAGGTAGGTTCACTCCTTAGAATAAACAACCATGGCAGATCAGAAGGTCATTATTTGCACAAGGAGTTAACTCAGAGGGCAGGGATGCATAGGAAAGAAGGACACAGGAAAAAGATAACAAAAGGGAGGAAGTGGGAAGAGAGATGTTGCATTGTGGGGACAGCAATGAATGTCATGAAAGAAAATGTGTATGAACTGTCTTGTGAATAATGAGTTTTCTCTGTAAACTTTCACCCAAATCACAATTTAAAAAAAAAAAAAAAAACTTAATTAGCAAAAAAAGCGATGGTGTTACAGGATGCTTTCTGGACAATAAGGTGTGGAAAGACACGCCTTTTATGGTTACATGACCCCACAGGGAGATCTTTCCTCCATTTCACAGATGAACATAGTGTCATGTTTATTTGCAGCAAGGAGGCATTAACTCAAGGTTGGAACTTATACTCAGTTCTCAGCCAGTATCCCATATTAGTGGCACAACCTCAGAGAATATGCTGGATGTGCCTATCAAATGAAGCCCAAACACCAGGAGAGTCATATTCAGCAGAAGCATTGCAAGAATTCCAGTGTTGGGAAGTCAAGATGTTCCTGGAAAATTTGGCTGCATCAGTAACCATGATGGCCTAAAGATTAAAGTCAGGGACATGTAGTAATGAGTGGAATAATGTTTCAGTCCAGTAGGATGATTTTTAAAAGTCTCATGGTTTCAGGTTTTTTATCTACACTTTGAATCTGTACAATTACATTCATGCCTGCCCTCTTCTCTAGATGAAATTGCTTAAGTGAACACAGTTTGGAAACTTCGTATCTAGAAACCAGTCATTACCAAATCCATAGACCATTGTTCTTGAGTTACATGTGATAATTCATGCATCTTATAACCAGCAGTGAAAAATAGAAAGCAAATAGTTTTATTTCTAACTAACCTGGGGAAGGGAAAGGCAGTAGAAAATTCCAATGAAAGTCATCAAGACAGTCAGTTTCATTCAGGTGCAGATGATAGACTAGTTATGCTCACTCCAATGCCTGGCACTTTGTAGATGTTCAGCATGTATTGGTTGATTTTTGGCAAACATTGTGCTTTCCTGTCCTACTTCAGAGGACTAATTCTAATTCAAAAGGCTGGCATAACCCATGCTCTCCACAGGGAGTATTAGCCTCAAGGTGAGCAGTGACCAAGAGGGATAGGCTCAAAGAGACATAGGCCAAAAACCCTGAGTTAATGGGGGCTCTGGCTGGATGTTGAGCTGGATGGGGGCTTGAGTTAGTCCTGCCAAGGTGAGCATTTGGGTCAAGGGTCTGGAGAGTGACCCTGCCAGCCCTATTCTCTGAGAGGCCTGTCTGGCATCAGCCCCTCTGTGAGTTGGGATGGAAACCCATAACGAGGCTTTGCTGAAATCAGGCAGGGCTCTGTGTATCCTAGGTGGGGAGATGATGAAGGGGCTGGCTCAGATCAGTGTGGTCTGGAAGAGACAGGAGGTGGTAGATTCTGAGATCTCTCAGTGGTAAGTGAGAAAGGAGGAGAAAAAGGGGGCAGGAGACTGGAGGTTAGGGTGGGCTCTGAGCTCAGAGCAAGGTAGGGAAAGGAAAGAAGGCAACCAAGCCCAGGGGAGTACGAGGTGCTTCTTAAGGGACCCCTCCCTCCAAAGCTGCCAGCTTCCTGGCTGTGGAAAATAAATGTTCTGCTCTTGTTCTTCTCTGAACCTTGGGCTGTGTCTGCTTGCTCTGCAGAACCTAGTAGACATCCCCTTCCTTTCTGTATGTAGCACAGGAGAAAGAAGTAAGCTCTCTTGAGCCCCGTACCGGAGAGGGTTTTGCTTCTTCTTGAGGGTGTTCAGCTTCAGCCCTGCAAAAGGACAGTTCCTGGAGATACAGGAGTGGGTACGAAGGAGTTGGGTAACCACATTGCATGGGAATTTTGGAATGTGGTGAGAAGACAGGAAACAGGACACAAAGCACAATTGTGACCTTGTCCTGCCAGCCCAGGGACAGTGCCTGTGAAACAAGAGGAATATATAAACAAGACACCAACCAATTCCTCTCAGCTAAGACATGTTTATTAAGGTGCTGGCCCTTCAAAGAAGATGTTCAATCAGAGAAGACTTCAGTTTGATTCCTGCAGTTGGAGGCGTTTTGTGGTTTTCTTTATCCAGCGCAGGAAACGAGAGACTTTGGTGAAGACCCGTGGTGGAGTCCCAGTTTTTTTTCCATAGGAGACAATGCCCTGGGCCACATTGTTGCACACGAGGGGACCCCCAGAGTCACCCTGGGAACAGAAAAGGGAAGATTGAGTTTGTTCTCCTCCTGGTCCTGCCACCCTGGAGAGCTCCACATTTGGCAGAAGGCCCTAGAAGGCCCCTGGGGTGGTGTGAGAAGAGAGGGCCAGCAGGAATCTGGGCACCCTCAGCTGCCACGCTCCAACCTGAGCATTGTTACACTTGACCTCACCCCAGGTTGTAGCCTATCTTCTTTCCCCAGCTCTAGGATCACCTCCTTGTAAGAGCCTCTGGGACTTTTGATTCCAGTCTACTTCTTAAGGAAACAGGCAGATGTGTGAGCTGAACACAGAATGGAGGACAGCCCATTAACCAAGGTGGGTGCAGCTCTTGAGTTGCTACCTGTTTTTAATTACTCCTTGTTGAGTAAGAGCTATTTTCTAGCATGTGTACACTTTGTTGTTGTTGTTGTTATGTGCTGTCGAGTCAAACCCGACTCATAGCAACCCCTCCTTGGGTTTCTGAGGCAGTATCACTACAGAAGTAGGGTTGCCCAACCTTCCTTCTGAGGAGTGGCTGGTGGGTTTGAACCACCAGCCGTTTGGTTAGCAGGCAAGTGCCTTAGCCACTATGCTACCAGAGCTCCCATGTGTGCACTGGGTGTGTCAAATCCCCCCACAAACAGAGAAAAATAAAATAAAATAAAGGCAGTTGGTGTCACATAGCAACCTCATATGTTACAGAGTAGAATTGCTCCATAGGGTTTTCTTGGCTGTAAACTTTACAGGACATCTCTGGATGGCTTTGAACCACCAACCTTTAGGTTAGTAGCTGAGTGCAAACTGTTTGTGTCATCCAGGCACCTTTGGGGTGGGTCAGGGAGTGGCAAATTCCTCTTTCTGGAAGGACATCTTTTTCAGATTCACCATTGAGAGGCCCTAGTGACTCCTCCACTTAGATGCTCCCATCTTCACTTCCCACAGAAAAAGAACACAGATAGTAGATGAAGGAGTGCCCCCACCATTTGAGGGCCCCAGGTACCAGATCTTCCCCAAACAACATTCTCCCCAGAGCCAGGCTAGACAGATGCTAAATCCCACCTTAAAGGAAGACATCTTTTTCTTCGGGTCCCCCACACACATCTCACAGGCACTACTGTAATGGGAGAAGCGGGATTCACACTCTTGGTCCTTCTGCACAGTGAGCTCCACCTCACGCAGCCTGTTTGTTGAGGTATCCACTGACACTCGGCCCCAGCCGGCCACACTACACACCTGCCCTGGTCTCACCTGGACCTTTTTCCTGGGCAGGCGGAGTAGGCGCACAGCTGCAGTCAGGTTCGCTTTTGTCTTCAGCTGATGGGGAGAGACAGGAAAGTCCTGGTCAGCAATGGCATGCTGAGCCTGGAGACTGATGGACTGCACTGTATTCCTGCTCTTCCAAGGCCCTGACTAGTCCAGCAGCCGGGGTGGGAAGGTGGGAAGGGTAGGAGTTATGGTAGAAGGAGAAACTCTCTGGACCCAGGGGAGCAGCGAGCATCAGGGAGTTGTGCCTCACCTGCAGCAGCATGATGTCATTGGAAATAGTCTTCTCATTATAGTCTGGGTGGCGGATGGCTCTTCTCACAGGGATTTTCTGCTGAGTCTTTTCCTGCTCCTTGACGTCGTGGGCCCCCAGGGTGACATTTATGGAGCTGCACAGAGAGCAGAATGGGGCAGTGGGTCATAGGCACTGTAACCCAGGAGCTGAGAAGTGCAGGTGATGGCTGAGTCAGGGCAGGACTGTAGCTGAGGGGAAATGGAGGCAACAGAAGGGCCTGAGCTCACTGTGCCCTTTACTTCTTGTAGCCCAGGTGGAATGCTAGAGCCATTGGTAACTGCACCAGTGGTTCTCAGTGAAAACCAAGTCCTCTGATGTCTAGGATTGTGCTGGTTTCTAAGGGCCAAGAAAACAGGCAAGATTGTTTTTGTTTGCATTTTGGCCTCATATACATGCTCCCAGCTATAAATATGGCAAGGTTGTTCAGTCTAGGCTCAATTTTTTCTTTTTTCAACAATACCTCTATCACTGACCTGCTCCTCTCCCCACAAAATTAGATGCCATCTTTCTTTCTCTCTAAGACCTCTCCTGGCCCCTGTGCTGTGAGGAGCCCAGAGGGCACCTTGGAAAGAAGACAGGCACCTGTGGAGTGTGGGCCATCTGATGCTCCTCACCTTCCCCAACAGTGAGCAGCTGTCAGCACGAAGTCCTCTCGGATCAGGAAACCACCACAGTTATGCCTCCCATCCTGTTTCCAGAACTGAAGAAATGCCATGTAGGGGCGAGAGTGGGGCTTAGCCTCATGTCCCCCGATGATATCCCCTAAAAGAGAAGTCTGTTCCGCTGTGTGCACCACTGAGTCCCTAGAGTAAACATCTACTTCTCAGCTCTAGAACTACTGGGTATTTGTGAGCCTGGCATGGTATGAGGTGGGGCATCTGTGGTGAGAGGCCTCAACTTCCTCTTCTGAACAAGGGAAAAGCAGTCCCTAATCTGTAATCTTTATTCTGCACATAGTTGGAGGTGAGCATTGCTGTGTTAGGAAGAGCACTGTCCCTAAGGCTCCAGAAAATTCCCTTCTTGCCATGTCTTTGTTTAAATGAATTTCTAAGACCTCTATGAGTCCCGTGTGGTGTAGGATAGTGCTGCTTTCTAATGGCCAAGATCTAAGTTCAAGGATCTAGATAGTGTTATGTCCTATTCCCTACAGCCTGACATAGTGGCTGCATGAAGTAATGTTCATTGGCTGCATGAAGGAATGGCCTCCAATTAGTAGATGAGGGTTGCTGAGGGTAGTGCTGGTGTGATTCTGGAAGGCAGAAAAGTTGGGATCTACCAAAGACAGTAGCCCATCCTTTAAAAGGGAGAAGTTTCTGAGGCCTGAAAAGAAATGCAGAGCTAGAGAAATGGGCTGAAGGATCCTGGGGCTGAACAAAGGCAAACAGTGTTATGGGCACAGTGCCCCCACCAATTCCAGGGTCAGCTACACTCTGGGCTTCTCTCCCAGGCAGAATGGTGAGGGGAGCACTTGTCTCACGTCATCCCAGACAGAGGTCAGGCCCACTCTGGCCTCTGCAAGGAAATTGGATCTTTTCTGCTTATTAATTTCTCACCCATTCCCATGCACTTGTAGGATAGTCCCACTTTTCAGATGAGAAGTTTAAGTCCTGGGGAAGGAATAGTACCCCTGACTCTTGTTAACAACATATTTCTTCCCTGCTCTTCCTGCTGAAGAAAGTATCCAGCATCATACTGGAGGCCTAGGGTGGGACAGGAGGTGGGATTAAGAAGGTTCCTAGTAGATGGATGCATCAGGGATGTGCAGAAGGAGCAGGAGATCAGTGTCCACTGTGGGATGGGGCTAGGCCTCAGAGAGTGGGGACATTCACTCACCTGTCTCTGCTCCAGAGACCAGAAGGAAGACTAGTAGGAGCAGGTGAAGCTGCATCTTCCTAGGAAGACTGCCCAGGTCAGAGCTGCTGGTGTTTCCTCCTGGCTTGCTTTTAGTCCCAAGAAGAGGAAGGAGGCTCAGTTATCTCATGGTCCACCCTGGTTTTGTGGTGACTCCTCATAGAAGGCTTTCTACCAAAGCTACCCTTTTCTCTCTGCTGACTTTCATTGGGTGGTTGTGGGAAAATCAGGCAGTCACCACATCATTGCACAGAGCTGATGACTCAGAGCAAACCCCAAGGGTACAAGATGGGGACTGGAGGTTGTAGTATCCCCGGCAGGGGTTCTAATGTCCTGGAAATCAGTGTCCCCAGAGATAGAACCACCAATACTTTCATTTCCATGCAACTAAGTGTATCTGAGTCAGCAGTGACTCGATGGCAGTAGGTAAGTCCATCAAGATAATTTTCTTAGCAAATGTGAATGTACAAATTTTTCTGTGCCAGGACCAAGAGTCTTGGAGGCACGTCTCCTTTCCTTAGAGAGCTCACTATCTGTTGGAGGAGATAGAAACATGAGTGACCTGAGCACAGTGTGGTGAAGGCCATGGTAGAGAGAAACTTAAAGCAGTAAGGGAGCCTGACCCCCTTCTACTAAACCCGTAGCAATTTATTCACCATCATAGTTTCCTTTCTAAGGGATTTTTTAATGGCCATTATTTAGATACAAACTTTTAGACTGAAGGAAGCCGTCTCTCCCAATGACTTTTACTGACCCCAGTTAAGAAATCACTGTAGCCCATGGAGTTAAAAGGAGCTCTGGTAGCATAGTGGCTAAGGCACTTGACTGCTAACCAGAAGGCTGGAGGTTCAAACCCATCAGCCACTCCTCAAAGGAAGGTTGGGCAATCTACTTCCGTAGTGATACTGCCTTGGAAACCCAAGGAGGGGTTGCTATGAGTCTGACCTTACTCAACAGCAGTGAGTTTGTTTTGGTTTAAGAAGTTAAATGTACTGACCTTGTGTAGTCTGGAGTGAGTCACACCAAATTCCATGAACTCAGAATGGGAAAAGGGTGGTTCACCCAGAGAAAGTCAATCTACTAAAGTGCTGATGCCATGGGAAGTGGCATCCACATGCCAATAATTGCCCTTTTAGTACTCCGTGTCCTCTGTCCAGAGAGTCACATTTCTGACCTAGTAGGCCCAGCATATAATGTTGTTGCTGCTGCTGTGTTTCTGACACACGAGGTTGCCATGAGCCTGAGTGGACTTGATGGCAACTAAAAACAAGCATATAATAAACCGGCACTAAACATTTACTATACTACTAAACAATTGTGATGATATGTCTGTAATGAAAATGAAGGACTATTGTTTCTATGGGAGCTCTGGTAGCATAGTGGCTACGGCACTTGACTGCTAACCAGAAGGCTGGCGGTTCAAATCCACCAGCCACTCCTCGGAAGGAAGATGGGGCAATATACTTCCGTAGTGATACTGCCTCAGAAACCCAAGGAGGGGTCGCTATGAGTCGGGTCCGACTCGACGGCAAACAATAACAACAACAACAACAATTGTTTCTAAACAGCCCAAATCTAATTCAGTTAAAAGAACAACTAAGTCATTACCTCTATATTGTTTCACTTGGTGAGTTTGGTTTTCATTTTTGTATTTTCTATACTTTACAATTTTTTATAAGGGTTATTTTATATGAAAATACATATTTCCAGTCTAAGCTTCCTCCCTTATTAGTCACAAACCTCTACTTTTCAGGACTTAGCTTTCAAAGCACTAAACATTTTTAAAATAAAACTACTTTTCTGATTATAGTGGTAACATATGTCCCTTAAGAAAAACTGGAAAGGAGAAATGAGAAACATCACGCCTTTGAGTATCTCCCACAAAGTCTTTGACGTTTGTTGTTGTTGTTATGTGCCGTCGAGTCAGACCCGACTCATAGCGACCCCTCCTTGAGTTTCCGAGGCAGTATCATAACAGAAGTAGATTGCCCCATCTTCCTTCCGAGGAGTGGCTGGTGGGTTTGAACCGCCAGCCTTCTGGTTTGCAGTCAAGTGCTTTAATCACTATGCTACCAGAGCTCCTTTGACATTTAAGTAGTGTATTTAAATACATGTGATGATAGGGTATGTGTAAAACAATTTCCTTTTTTGGTCATTGAAACTTAAAACACATATTTAACTCATACTCTTAAAAATATATTAGTTAAGATCACTGTAGTCTTTTTTTAGTCATAAAAAATTTAGCATGCAAGAAATGTAAAAAGTCCTTGGAAAATCTGAAAACTAATTTAAGCAAAGAGAAGACATTAAAATTACCTGATTTCTCATCATTCTTTGATAATTATTTTTAATGTTTTGAAATACGATCTAATACATTTTTTTTTGCCTATGCAAATATAATAAAACCTATGAAAGTCAGAAATGGTGTAAGGTGGAAACCTCAAATATTTTCCAGTAATAGAGAGCAATAGAAAAGTGACAAGACTGCCCCCTGTCAAATGCAGAAAACTTGTGACACCCAGAAAAGCAAGGCAGTCCTGAGTTCCAGTTCTAACCACTTTCACAGCATCTACAGTTTTGAAACTTTAAAAGGGATTAAGATAAACATGAGGCTCTGAAACTTTTTATGCTTAACAATATGAGGTATACATTCTTCCCTGGCAGGACATATTCACCTACATCAGAATTGTAACAACTGCCGCTATTGTTATCATTACTCACTGCCATCAAGTCCATTCCGACTCACAGGAACCCTCACTGGGTTTCCAAGGAGGTAAATCTTTATGGATGTAGATTATCACATCTTCCTTCAGCTGAGCAGCTGGTGGGTTTGAACCACCAATCTTCTGGTTAGTAGTCAAATGCCTTAGGCACTATACCATAGAGCCCCTTATTATTAATATTAGGTGAGTGAAATTTAAAATGAAAACATCACTTTACTTAATCCATCACTCATAGGTGGAACTCTCAGTTTTTTGTAATTTTTTTTTGTTTGTTTGTTAACATAAGCATTATTTTGAAGGAAGCTCTGGTAGCATAGGGCCTAAGGCACTTGATTGCTAAACAGAAGGCTGGCGGTTCAAACCCACCAGCCACTCCTCGGAAGGAAGATGGGGAAATCTACTTCCGTAATGATACTGTCTTGGAAACCCAAGGAGGGGTCGCTATGAGTCAAGTCTGACTCGACAGCACATAACAACTACAACAGGATAAATTCTTGGAGGATTGCTGGGTCAAAAATGCATTCATACTGAACACAAAAATTTTTCATATTGAAAAATTGCTTTCTAAGAAGCTCACAGTAGTGTCTATAAATATAACCATTTTCCTACACCACATCAACATGGACTACATTATTATTCTTTTTTTCATTTTTGAAATTCAGGATATTTTACATAAAATAAAATTCACTATTTGAAACATAAATTTTGCAAGTTTCAATGAATGTATACAGTATAGTTTCTTTAACATTGCCAGTCTGATAGGCATTTTTTTATGATGTTGTAATTTATATTTAATTCTAAACTAGATATTTAACATACTTATGTTTATCAGCCAAATGCATTATTAAATGATTTGTTTTATTTTATTGTTGTTGAAAAAATACACGGCAGAACATACACTAATTCAACATTTTCTACACGTGCAATTCAGTAACATTGATTCTCCAAGTTGTGCAACGATCTCACCCTTCTTTTCCTAACTGGCTCTCGCCTATTAACATAAACTCACTGCCCCTACATTCCCTATCTCATCGTTTGGTTACTGGTGTCAATTTGATCCTTTATAACTCTTCAAAAGAATATAAGGCTTAGGGCAGGCATTCTTTACTAATTAAGCTATTTGGTTTAAGAAGACTTCAGGGGAAGTTTTTTTTGTTTATGTTTTAAAGATTACTTCAGGGCAATAATTTGGGAGAGTTCATCCAGCCTCAATAGCTTCAGAAAGTCTATGAGAATTTGGAATTTCCTTCCTCAGCCATATATTTTTGATGTTTAAAATACCTTTTTTTTTTCCTTAGCTCATTTTCTGTACTAGTTTCCAGTTGCTGTTGAGTCAGTTAGGACTCATGGAGAACATATTTGTGTCGGGGTAGAATCATGCTTCATAGTGTTTTCAGTGGCTGATTTTTCAGAAGTAGATAGCCAGTCCTTTCTTCCAAGATACCTCTGAATGGACTCAACTGGCAACATTTTTTTTTTTTTAGCAGCCAAGTGTGTTAATCATTTGTACAACCTACAGACTCCCATTTTCTATAAATTTCCTTAAAATTCTTTTAACCTACTGCATAATTCTGCACTGTATAGATATACTATGGTTTGTGTCTACATTATCTTCAAAATTTGGCAAGTAAAAATAGTGCTGTCATTAGCAAATTTATGCACAATAGTTTTTTTTATTTCTTTCTATATATACTCTGGGAGCTCTGGTAGTGTAGTGCCTAAGGCGCTAGACTGCTAACCAGAAGGCTGGTGGTTCAAACTCACCAGACACTCCTCGGAAGGAAGATGGGCAATCTACTTCCGTAATAATACTGCCTCAGAAACCCAAGGAGGGGTTGCTGTGAGTTGGGTCCAACTCAATGGCACAGAACAACAACAACAACATGTATACTCTGGTTATACCACAGGTTAACTTTTCAGAAGTAGAATTGCTGGATCATAGCATACTAGTATTGTGAAAATATCAAAATAGAATAATTTATCCATGTCTATTTGCTATGACTCGATGGCACATAACAACAACATTTGCTATGAAGAAATTTCTGAGAGGAAAAAATATATCTTGGCAATATTCTCTTGCTTGGACATTGTTTTGAGGAGGCTTAAACTCTTGAGAGTTTCCCAACTTTTATAAAGCTATGTAATTATTGCAGTTCAATACTATTTCCTCATTTTCATAATCTTATCTTTTTGTACCACTAGTAACATGGAACCAGATTTTTTTGTCATGTGCTAGTAATTTATGAAAAAGAACAAGACCCTTGAGTTTCCAAAGTTAGGGGGAGCCTTGACCTCACATGTACTCCAAACCTAT